TCAAAAGTGCGCAGTGCCCGGTGCACACACACCGGTGCCACATGCCACGAGGAAGCTTCGACGCAAACATCACCACGGCAGGACTCGGCTGGTCAAGCGACAGGACCTTCGAAGCGGTCAAAGACGATGAAGACGAATGGGATTTCGCGAGCAATCGGTTGAGCATATGCAACCTTGGTCCCATGAGAGTTACCTTGTCTGCAACAACCCTCGGTAGTACGACACAATAGAACTAGCCGTGGAAGACCTTTCCTTTGCATGCGCTTTTGACATCAATGAAAGACATGACCTTATAAGCTTCAATTGTAGCTCGACTACAGGACAAGCGTCACCAACACCGAACCTGCAATTGGACATCCGCGATGTGCAGCAGAGTTGCTGATCTACTCTTCCGCAGGAACTTCACATCGACAGTATATGATGAGCTGGCCGGCTTGACAGCCAACAGCCAAAATTCCCGCTCCACCGTGCGTGGAAAGACAGGATACTCGTGCGCCTGCGCCGCAAACGTAAGATGCTCTATGGTGAGACTCCAGAAGACGGGAAGTATCCATATCGACGAGGTACCGGAAGCAAGCCTTATTGCCTGTCCCTCGACTTTGACGGAGTCCAGCGTGGTGTTGTTGGCAAGAAAGCCCTTGCCTCTGACGGCATTACCCGCCGAAAGAATGCAGATGCACCCTAGCTCCTCTAAGCGAACCATACTTGTAATGCTGATGACGCGCAGTTCCAGCCAATCGTTCGTTGCCGCAAGACAAGAACACTCCGCGACACCCGCAAGCTTTGGATGCAGCATTCAGACCACAACAGTTGGAAAGGAGATCGCAAAGCGGGTTTGTGTCCAGCAGCGAACTTCGCAGGACTCAGCAAAAGGTTTTTCGGGTAGCGATGTCAGAAACCGGTGTTTGCAGATCCGAAACACAAGCCGCAGACAGTAGCGAGTACAAACGTTTCCGCAACGCCTCAGCAAGCCGCCTTAATAGTCCCCCAGTGAAAGATTAGTGTGGAGCGCTGACCTTCGGGAAGTTTAAGGCCGGCGACCGTCCGCCCGGTCGGTGCGTCCCAAAGGAGGGCGCGCCCCTCACCGTCTGCTGCCACCCCGGACGCTCCCAGGGTTGCCACGTGGACGGCTCTGCAAGAACCAGTTGAGGAATGAGAAAGCGAAGCTTGACGCAAGCAGGATCTGACCACAGATGGCCTGACTCTACATCGAAGTCAATCCGATGACACCGACAGGACATGAACTAGGATTGCTCTCAAAGAGACGGTAAGAGATCGGGAAAATAGGTAGGCTAGAGGTTTCTCTGGGAAGACTGGTCTGACAGTAAGGCAGGTCAGATTCAAAGATTAAAACCAACTTCGAGATACAATAGTGACTCAATGCCTTGTGCTTAATAACACGTTCAAAGCATGCGGTAAAAGCATGCATCTTCTTGAGGAGCCAGACATCCCCCCTGAACCCTTGTTTGTAATTCTGCAACGGGGATCAGGCTGCCACAAACCGGCGACTGTACTCCTGTCTTAGATTATGAGAGGGCCGGAAGGCTGTGTGCAGCAGCCGGTAAAATGCCCATTCGATTTCTCTCACCCAATCCTGAAGCGGCCTAAGTCACGGACGAGTACTCATCCCAACGGTCTCACGACCGGGATGACAAAGAGACGCACCTTTTGGCGACCAGAAGCTCCTTCCCTACGACTATCTCGTCGCCGTTCAACAGGGCAGGCAGGCAAACGGCGCCCTTCTCCGGGTCCCCCCGGGCCGTCGCTCGGAGCAGCAAGCAGAGGGGCTTCACACTGTCCGCCTCCTCCGCTTGTGGGTGCACTTCCGCTGTGGTGTGAATTGGCGCTCCGGCATGAACAACGCGAACTGGCTCCCTCGGGAGAAGCACCGGACCGCTGAGGACGGCCGCTGAGGCCGCGAGGTAGTGCATCGAGTGACACGTGGACAGCAAGGTACGAGCGCGGACGTCCCTGAGAAATGTGAAAAAGGTTGAGGTCAATACATTCCGGGCTGGTATTGTTCCCGGGAACAGTCGAAGCTTGAAGTCCTTCCTTTACGGATTCCGCTTCTCAGATTCCGCATCTCCAAGAATTTGACACTCAGCCGATGCGATTGGAACATCCGGAAGCGGCGCAACCTTCCAAGCAATCACTTGCTGGGCCTGCCACGGGTGAAAGTTAGGCCAGCAGTCGGACTCACTTCGCCGACTCCGCATCCGGTCATTCGACTCTTTCTAGCCGGCTTCCAGAATCAAATCTCTATGATGTTTCGAGTGCAGTCAGCAACAGATCCTTGCCAGGGTGGCTTCGACTGCGCTCGACTTCCACTCTGTAGCAGAATCTGCTCACCAGATGGCGAAGGAGCCGTTCTCCGAACACCCCAGGAGTTGGTCGGGCCTCCCGGGAATGCTCAGCAGGTGATTGATGGCAGGGAACGTGACGCCCCGGTAGCGCGCCACCGGGAGGGTCCACTTTTCCTCTGAGGAGCTGCACAAGGACGAAGAGACAACATTTTGAATTCGCCGTAGGATCACAAAAAGGAAGTGCAACGGCTATTTGAGTATCTTCCGCGCATTGAGGACCTTGAGTGACCACCCCCTCTTACCAGCCAGGAAAGCTTTCCTTTACTCCCACAGTTTGTACGAAAGCTGCCTTTCCGTCCTGAGTACCTTCTCGTCTTTTGCCAGAGTCTTCTCGGTCCACAAATGCCTGAATCACGAAGAGAAGCGAGTCGATATCTGCTTGCTTTCGTTGGTTCATTGAGGACCAGTTCGTGTATTAAAGCAGAGACAAATCGTGCTAGCCGACGCTTACTGCCAGTCAGGCTTCATGGTCCAGCAGTCAACCGCCCCCTGCTGCATTCCCGCCGCAAGCGTGCGAGGCCCCGTCACGAGCAGGCTGCTGCTGGTGGACCCGCAATCCAGCCGGGCGAGCAGCTGCGGCCGTTGCTCGACGAGCGACACCAGGCGGAGACAGGGCCTCTTGCTTGCTGCTTCAGCAGGGCTGCAGTTCAGAGGCAAAGATGGGAATGTCGATGTAAATTGGCGAACAGAAGTTACTTGCGGAGACTGTTCCTCAGGAATGTTGGAAAGGATGGGCGTAATATGGACCGATGTTTACTGCCTTATTTTCTATTTGAACTGGAACAGCACAACGAGCGAAGGCAGGGTCTCTTGCATGCGGCATTCGCAGGTTTTCGGGTTAGACCATAAGAAAACCCACGCCCGCATATACTCGCTCCCTTACTCAACTTGACGCGACGCCACAGAAGGAGAAGTCCAAATGACTCAGCTGCCCTGACTTACCTAAGCTCCTGGAAGGCGAGGGCGTCTATGAGGACCAGGACGTCTCCGTCCGGCGAGAACTGAAGGAAGGGGCCAGACGATGCGACCTGCGTCATCAGGCACAGTCCTCAGATGCATACCCGGACAAATGAGCTATTGGAGGGATAAGAGACCAGTGTGCTCATTTCCTAATCTTTCTGACCATGCTGCAAAAGAGACCGTGCTTGAACCTCGAGACAGGGTTGCATACGCGTCAACTGACAAGATCGGTGACGACAGTGCTTTGTCTCGGTGCAGAATGAATCCCACAAATGCTGGGAAGCATACACACTACATGGAAACGGCATTGAGTGGACCAGACACGTCATTAATTTCCATCGAAATCCTGGAAAGTGGCCGAGCGTCCAGTCCAAGCACCAAGGATGCCTGAAAACCAGATGCAAGACAATCCGCTCACCTGCTCCGGATCTTCGGACGCCCGAACGGTGCCCGCAATCTCCCCTGCTACGTCCACTTTCCATTCGCTCTGCTCCCCCTCCCTGGAAAGAGTGTACACGAACACGCTCCGCTGAGCCTTGTCCGTCTCTACGCAGACCCCCAGTTTCGCCCCCTGGCCCGCCACGTGGATCACCGACCACAAGACCGGGCCCTTTTGCTGCACCAAGCAGCACACCGGGCGGAAAAGGCCCTGCCCGACGTCCCCCGATGCGCTTTCCAGACCGCCCATAAGCAATCCCCGCTGTGGCACAAGGCCTCCTTCCTCCGGCCCCTCAGGGGGCACAGCTTCCGGATTGGAGGGATCCCCCGCATTGTCCTCTACTTTCGGGGGGTCCTCTTCGGCTGCCGTGTCAGGGGGGGTGCTCGGGACCAGGAACTCCCCGGCCGGCCAGTCGCGCACCGCTTCCGACTCCTCGAAGCGCCCCAGCCGCCGTGCCTGGCTCTCCAGTGCCCTGCCCCGGTTCGCCCCCAGAGCTGACGGCACCGCGATGACGTCAGCAACTCTTCGAACCTCGGGAGGCTCCCTGCAGCCCCCCGGAAGAGGCGCCTTTTGGGCGCTGCCTCCAACCTTCCCCAAGTTGGGGTTGCTTGTCGGCCCGGTCCAGATAGGCCACGACTTGTTCCGTGGCCGGGCTTTTCCCTCCCCCGTGGTGTCATCTTTCGGAGCTGGCGCAACACTGGCCCCGTTTGGCACCGCGTCCCTCGACCGGGTAAAAGCCAACGGTTTGTACCCGGCCGGGCCTCTAAAAGCGGCTGAGATTGTCTCTACCGTCCGCCCAAGCCAGGACGAACCACGGCTACGCTCGCTGGCAGAAGGAGGGCTGCTCGTGCCCCGGGGGGGCGCTTTCGGCGACTGCTGCAGACGTGCAACAGGGCTGGCTGGTCGCCCCCGCTCACCAAGGCGTCCGCTGAGAGGCCTAGTGGGCGGGCCATCCATGTGCTGATTCAGCGGCATCAGGCCACCCTTCCTGACTGCGCCGGACCCGTCCCTCTCGGACGCTTTCGGACTGTTTCCTTCCACCTTGTCCGCAGCTTCTACTCCAACTATGGGAGGCTCCTTCTGCTCACCCGATAGCACCCCGCCCGGCTGCTCTTCTCTCGTGCAACCTTCGACTCCCCCTCCTTCCAAAGCTGACACAAAATCGTCCTCCCCAGCTAGCACTAATCCAGCGCTTGCATCAACGGTTGTGGCAGCCGGCTCGATCCCGGCCGTTTCTTTCCCCTCCCTAGCGTCCGGTTCAGAGCACTGTGGCTCAGACTGCTGCTCGGTCAGGCTGTCGCTTCCGAATATCCTCACAGCGGGTTTCCCCGGGGCCTCAATCCCCCCTTCGATCCGCTCGCCCTCCAAGCCGGCAGCCTCCGCACCCCCATCTTTCTCCAGCGTACCGGGCACCACCTTTCTCGCTACATTTGCTTCACCTGTCACTTGCTTCTCGCCCCGGGGGTCCTGCCCTCGCTCTAGGCCGTGCTCTTCCGGACGTCCGCACTCCGCCCCAATTCCGCCAGACACTGACCGCAAACGTCCCCCGCTCTGGGCAACTCCCGGCTCTAGTTGCTTCATTTCCCCGTCGCGTTGCTCCTCTCTGCCGGCCTTTCCAGTACCCGGGGAGACAGCAGACACCTTCTCTGCCTCCCATCCAAACGCCGCTAGCTTCTTCAGCTCTCCCATCTTCCGCTTTGTTTCTTTCACACCAGCCCCCGAAAGGACTGCGGGCCCTTCGGCATGTTCACCGGGCGGATGACCTGCTGCGCAAACCCCCTCAACGGCGGTTTCCCCTTCTTCCGTGGCCATCCACCGCTTGAAGGGGGTCAGGCTCAATCGCTTTACCTTCCGCTTCCGTTCTTGCGCTCCGGCTACTTGCACCGGAGAGTCGCCTTTCACAACGGCAGCTGGAAGGCCTTTCCCCTCTGCAGGTGCCACCACACCGCCCATTGCCGCTTCCCTTTTCCCTGCTTCCACGCCCTGCCCTAAGAGCGCTTTCGCTGTCGGAGAGGCCCCACTTCGCGGACTAGCTCTGTCTCCGTTCCCTGCAGAAGCACCATCTATTTTGCCATCCGGTCGAGAAACATTTCCGTTCAATCTGCTCAATTCGGCGACAGTAGTGCTGGGCTGCTCTTCTTGCGCGCCTAGACTCCGACTCCTTCCGGTGCCCAAGCTTGAGCGGACTCCCGACCCGTTCCGCCCGAACCCCCCCCTCAAATCCGCCTCCTGCTGTTCCGTCTCCTCGATCACTCTGTCATCACATGCCAGCGTCCCCGTTGCACCGTTTTTCTCCCCAGCCGCAGCCTCCACCTGAGCCCTGCCGGTTGTCAATACGGCACCCCCTATCCCTCCGCTTGCTTCTACTCTCACCGGTTCCTTCATGGGCCCCACCAAGCTACCCTTCCTGCTGCGAGCCGCCGTGAACCACCCCCCTTTGTCCGCCTCAAAGTCGACGGTGCCGGGCTTCCTTTCTGGGCCTGAATCCCCGTGCCAACTCGCTGGCCCGTTCTCACGTTCCTGCCTCTCTGCTGGGGAAGCGGGGAAGACGTCCGGAGGCTCCGTACTGTCATCCTCAAAAATGCGCTGCGCTTCAGACCCGCCGTGATGATCAAAAGCGGCTCCTTCCCTAACCTTCAATATGCTAACGTCAGAGGGAGTAATCTCACACAACTTTCTCCCGATCAAACCCTCTTCTCCCGTTGCTTCCTCCTCCGCCCGCCGCCCCAACGCTGTCGCTGTCCCCACAGACTCGTGTGCCCACGCCGCTTCACTGGCCCTTGGACTGCTGACGTCAGCAGCTTTGTCCGCAAGGGCGCTCTCCACCTCAGCACCCCCGCCGCTTCCGATTCCCTCCTCCCCCAAGTCCGCTGAGTGAGACACGTCACTCTCGGGCTCTGTCTCCGCCTCCATGTCCACAGTCCGAGGCACGTGCTCGTCCCCTTCCGGGTGATTGGGACACCACTGCTGACCCCCGGGGCTTTTGGCTTCGGTCCCCACATTTCGTGCGCCGCTAGGAGGGCTGTCTGCGGGCCGATAGGGACGCTGCGCCGCGCTCCCTGGGGAAGTCCTAAAACCAGCGTCCGCCGCAGGGGCCCCAGAAAGTTCCCGTTTGCTCCGCCCAGCCGAGTCCGTCAAGTTTCGATCGGCAGTCTCGCACTCGCCCTCCTCTTCTGCATCACTGTCCCCTAAGCTCCCCTTCTCATCCGCCCCTCGTTTCCCCGCACTGATGACATGCTGCTTCTCAACTTGGCCGTCCTCCTGGCTTCCTCTGACTGCCCCCTCTTCGAAGACACCAACTCTTCCGTGTCTCGCAGATCCCGTCCGTTCGTCCGCTTCAGTCCCCTGTTCCTTGTCCACCAAGGCCCCTTCAATTCTGAGCCCCTCGTTCGTTTCTAACCGCGCAACACCCGCTTCCTGCTCCGCTCCGAATTGTGCTGCCCGTTCTTCCTTGCCCTCCTGATTCTGGCAGGCTCCTTCTGTCCCCTCCGCCTTTGCCGCCAGCTCTCTCCAATCGTCTTCAACTGGCGGCAAGCATCTGTCTAGTGCACTGCTTTCAACGAGCTTCCTCTGCCTGGCCTTTCGAGAGCGGGCTAGAGCCAATCTGTTCGCTTCCAGAGACTTCTGCAGCTCCTCTCGCTTTGCCAGCAGTGCCTGCAGGAAGAAGGGAGTCGTAAGAGGAGAATACGGGGAGGCTGCTGTGAACTGTTCGAATCCAAGACTTTGCCAGCCGTCTCCAGCCTAATTGTGGAAACATGGAACTTGCTGACCTCCAATCAGCTCCCTATCTCGCGTTTGCTGCCCGGTCCTCACATCTCCTGTCTTGTCAATAGGTACACTCCTTTGCCCGCTGCAAAAGTTTCCGGTCACTGGGTGGGTTCGGTACTTGCATGATGCAGTTGCAAGTGCTGGCTGGATGCTTCATAATACAGAATAGGTTTGCTTCCAGATAGGACTCCTGGTTCAAAGTCGGGGGAAGAATAAACAATGACCCTGTGGCCTTTTTTGGACCATACGAGAACTAGGTGAAAATGTCCCATACTTTCGGATTGCCAGAAATAGATCTGTCAGAAGCTGGTATGTGAGGGTGCCATGTCAGAAGCACCGGCCTACAGGTTTGGAACAGAACACACTCTGGCAGTTGAAGTCTTCGGCTTTGCTGATACTTTCCGAATTTTGAACGTCCAAGCGACGGCCTCACCTTCCCTTCCACTGGCACCAATTGCAGACGCTTCTGTACGGCGTCTTTTGAGCCTTCTGTTTCTGCTCCCTGGCCCGGACCGCCCTCTGAGGCAACCCGAATTCTCCCGCTGCATTGCTTCCCCAACTTCGCCGACTCTTCAAGAGCAGCTTCTGTGCGCAAAGGATCTGCTGGCGGCGCTTCAGCAACCCGCAGACCATCAGGGCTCGCAAACTTCAGATCCCCCAGCTTTTGCCTCTTGGCCTCATTGTTTGCATTCCCAGTCAGGGACGCATCGTCACAAGCCAGAACTGGGTTCACCCCTGGGAGGTCGCCGCCTGCCTCCTTTAGCCTCACCGCCCCAACAAGAGAAGCAGGGTTCGGACTCTCTCCTTTCTGTTTCTTAGGATCCCGTCTACCCCTTCTGGCGGAAGCAGGCCTTTTCGCAGGCAGGGATTTTGGAGCTGGTTTCAAGGTTCCACGCCTACTACAGCCAGAGATGGTGGGAGTGTTGCACGCGAGGGGAGACAGAGGAGTTGAGCTGGCTTCCGGAGCACCGGGTGCGAGACCGCTGGTGCGAGCAACCAGGTCCTGAAGGTATTTCTTCACCATTGTAAAACCGAAAATCTGCGAGTAGGAGACAAAAGTTGTATGTGAGAAGCATTTTTGACGGACTGGTACACCAGATATTCTTGGATTCATGAGGAGGACGATCGTGCCATTCCAATTTGAGTGCATTGTGGCAGATGATTCAGCGAAAAAGATGTCGATGTCTCTCAAATCCTTGTTCTTCAACATCTCAATATAGACAGCTTTTGGTTTGAAGGCTTTGGAGAAAGGTGGATTTCCAAATGGACTGCTCGATCATGCCTCCCACTTTCGAAGGCTCTGACTATCCTCGTCAACTCCGCCTATGTGTGTGGTAAAGAATCAAGGGCACATGCCCCACCTCTCCTCCATCTGTATTCTCTTTGACACTGGCAGCCCGACCATTTGCCCTCAATGCTACAGACCAGACTCTGAGGGCCGTCTCCGCAGCATAGCGTACTCCTCGCGGGTCAGTCACCTGTGAGCATTTCAACAAGAAGCAGCCACTCAGCAGGATGGCCGTGACTATCAAGACCTGCAGTCACAGTCTTTAGGGTCACAATGATGGCTGCAAGTCAGGATGGTGGCAGCTTCTGTATCGACCTTATACGGGTGCAGCCACATTGAACTGCTACAGCAATGTTGCCAGGCCTCGCTTGGACAAGGCTTGAACTTCAGACTGTCTTTCATTTGCAGCCGCTCCACCTCATTCAAGCTTTCCATGTGGCAGCCAAGCAAGTTGCTTGTCATTAAGCAAGAAGTCCTACAGAGCCTGATCTACTCCATGTGTCATTTCTGGCCAGAATGGACATAGAACACTTCAAAGCAAGAAACTCCATGGCTCATTGTGCCTATAAGGGTTGTTGGACGTAGATTGAACATACCACAAAGTCTGGACCCTCTAGTCCTTCAGCAACCTCCAATCTGTACTCATGGCCCCCTTGCACGCGAGTGGCCTGGTAGCCAACGGGATATGGGTAACGATCTCGCCCCTGCATGGCAAAGGGTATGAGCAATCTGCTTGTATTGGTGATCTCAAACTCCAATCATTTCGGCCGCAACTACTTCTGCAATGCGCACTGCCTTCCCACCTTGTAAGATTCCTGTATTCAACGGTGGTCGTAAAATGTTGAAATTCCTGATAATATACAAGACTTTGGATATTATTTGAGCACTTTGTGCAGTATGCAGGCGCCGACAGCTGGCCACATTCCAAATACACTCACCCTCTTGCTGCTCCAGTACCTGCGCTCATTTGGCCCGCTATACAGCTCGCCTAAGGCAGTCACCACAATCTCCTCCCCTTTTCTGGACGCCATTCTAGGACTTCAGTTTACGATTGGAGGCACACCGTCCTTCCTTGTACCGTAACCCAATCTCCACCCGGGGCCAAGACCAACTCCTTGTAGCAGGGAAGGGCAAATGTCTGGGAGCCTAGGAGCAAATGCCCAGGAGCTATGTAGGCGTCCTTGGCAGATTACCGCGATCTCTTCAGAAGGCAGCACTTGAAACCCTTCTTCAATGTTCAAGCAAGCAGAACTCGGCTCCAGAATATTTCAAGGTTTGTAATTTGAACTTTCAAGCGTCCTCTTCATGTCGGGATAACTCTCTCCCTGTGAAGATCAAGGGTTGCCAGCAGATGTTTCCAAGTCAACTAGAGGAAGGGTTTAGCCCCGTCTTCAACAAACCGGAGTTTGTCACGGTAACCCATTGGCATAACCCACGGCTGGCTGCACTTCCGTGACGGTTCTCAAGCTGCACAGAACTTCAGTCTTCACAAATAAAATTTTGCTGTGCAAGAAGCAGGTTCACCTGGGGAGCTTCTATGATTGAGGGTGTATATGCAGCCGCAGCAGCCTCTGTTTCTACCAGATGCAGCAGCACCTGGTGTCTGCGGACAACGGTCAAAAGGTCCAAGCAAGGTCAAGTTTAGTGGTTAAACGTCCGTCAGTGACTTCTGTACAGCATTTCGGGTAAGTAGCGCCTTCGTGCACAAAGTCCAACGATGGTGGTGATTGTTCTGAGCTCAGAGTCAAGAGTACATCTTTTGATCAGGTTGTTGACTCCCAGTTTTCCAAAACTGTAGAAAGCCCCATGGAAGATTCTCTGGGTTCTCCGAAGAAGAAGCGGAAAGCGAGGTTGTTAGCTGGTGAGGAAGGCGTTGAGAGAAGAGAAACAGGCCAGAAAGAGAAGCCTCCCTCTGACAGGGATGGGGCCGAGAAAAGGAAGAAGGCGCGGAAAGAGGTTACACTTAGTGAGGATGTGACGAAAGACAGGAAGGGAGAGCGAGAAGAGAAGACTGTTTCTGAGCAGGACGGGGCGAAAGACCAGAAGAAAAGAAAGAAAAAGAAGCATCGAACTACTGAAGAAGCACCCCAAGCGGAGGATACAGGCAAAGAGATGGAATTAGTGGAGGCAGTGGAGCCTACGAAGAAGGGTAAGCATCAAGTAGAAACGAGACTGGAAAAAGGGGATGAGGAGAGGAGGAAGAAGAAGAAGAAAAAGAAGGAGAAGAAAGCGAGAACCGCCGAGGAAGGTGAATGATGTGGGCTGAGTGCTTATCTTTATCTGGTGGAAATCTGAAATGTTGAGAAGGCTCCTATGCCACCAGGAACCTTCAATCCTCAATTGAATTTTGATAACGCTCTCTGTACTTTTATGGAAATTTTGCTGATTTGGAGTCCGCATTGACTTACTAAATGTTCTGTTGTATGTAATCTGATTAAGCTCTGCAGATTGCTTGCAATGTCTTATGATAAATGAAGCTGATGCAATTTGACAATTTGGATCAAGCGGGGGCAGAACTGCAGTGGTATGGGTGGTGGTACAGACACCGAACGCACCTGCAAAACTTCAAAAGCTCGCTCAATTCATCCTTTACGCTTCGCTCAGAAGTTGGAGCCAGCATCATGGCAAAAGGATAAACTGCGCAACAGCTTTTATGCGTGTGTCACAATGACGCTGCCCGTGCTTGAGATTTTGTACATTGTCGAGGAGTCCTGTTTTGTTGGTCGCTCGCTCTGCGTCTACAAACAGTCAGGCAGTCAGAACTCAGTGATTAGACATTCAATTGAACCAGCAGGTAAAACATATTCTAGGCCTTTTTCTGCTGGAAGCCCTTTTCATAATGTTCGTTGGCAAGCTACCGGAAACACAAAGGAACCCAGGATGAGCACTTCTGACAAGCACGTGAACGCTCTTCCAGGCGCAATTGTTCTTACCTCAGAAGAGCCCAATGATCGGGCCCCAGAAGCAGCCAGGGGGCAAAGTCCAGCGAAAGAAATTTCAGACTATGAGGGGGAGGCAATCGTCCTCTCGGGTGACCGAGCAGAGCACTGGAAGGACGATGACGTCAGGACGGACCTCAAGTACGGCGCGTTTAGCAAGGAAGAGGATGAGATCATTCGAGCAGCTGTGGCGGAGTACATAGAGGTTTGTGCCCCAGTGCCCCTTGGTGTTCCCTAAAATCGTGCGTGTGTTCCAGGTGGAGAGTTGCGGGGACGGGATTCGGAAGGTGTTTTCCTGAAAGTGCATGTGTGTTCGAGGTGGAAATTGTGGGGAGGGGATTCGCAAAGAGAAAAAGATGGACCACGACCGAGCTCCTGTAAGGACATTTTTGACATCAAAAAGTCTTGTCAATCATTAGCCTGGCGGCTAAGCGCTCAGAGAACTGAGCCTTTGATTCTTTGTACTGGAACGGGCTCAGTGAAGTATTCTGTAAATCGTACGCGTCGCCACACCCAACTTTGGGACGTTTTGCTTATAAGTATTGACGGCCATCACATGTGGCGACGACATTTCACTGCGTCAGGGGTGATTGAGTCAGGTCTGCTGCAATCAAAGCCACGATTAGGTCACGTTTGGCGTCCTTTGACAGTCAGCGCTGATGGCTTAACACACGTTGCTTTTTCTCTTGGGATTCCGAACGCTGAGAAAGGACGCTGAGAACAGACGAGTGATTTTGGAGCAAATGATCTTGTTTCTTGACAGATCCGAGAGGCGACTGAAGTGCCACCAAGTCTTAGATGGGTTCACTGTGGCCGTATGCACACCAAAGGTCAGGAGTTGCAAGATGTGGGACCGACCTTCGTGTATATACTTGTTACAGAGACCCGCTTTCGGTGTTCTGAACTCTCGTTTTTGTTTTCTTCTACAGGAGCGAAATCTGGGAGAAGATGGCATTGAGAAGCTGCTCAACACCCGGAAGCATAAAGAAGTCCAGGGAGCATGGTTGGAGATAGGTATGTCGCGATATATCCAGGTCAGGTTCTTGCACAAGCTCGCAGCGTGTGCGAAGGTCGTTGAATGATAAGTTCGTAAAGGTCACTATCGTGCAATTCTTTATGGTTGGGGCTTGACAAGTGGCCGGAAGTTGAAGGACAATTTGGGTCTTTGCTTTCCGTTTCTCTCGAATGTAAGTCCAGAGGCATTTTCGCCGGGTGTCACTTCCGATAGATGAATGCTGAACATACATAAGGGGCAGCCAAAGGGGCAGATTGCCTGTTTAAGATTCGATTTGTTGGGCTTAAACCACTCAGAAGGATAGCATCTGTTGATTTCCGCCGCAGGTTACCTAAAGGCGATTCTGAGGTTTTCGCTTACGTGTTTTTGCAGCCCGCTGCCTTCCCGAGCGAAGCGTAAAGAGAGTGCATGCGCGTGCGTGCCGGCTCCTACATGGGGGCAACTACAAGGGGCGGTGGAGCCGGGAAGAAGAGGAAAGGCTGCAAACGTGAGTTGAAAGAAATAACGTTCCTTGAGAACCCTTAGCTTTTTGTGGTTAACAACGAACATGCGATGATAAATAACGCTAAGAGTAGGCACCAGCTTCATCACAGCTTCAGGTGTTAGCCAGCTTATTCAGCTTTGCGAAGACGCTCTGGGAGCAGATATTAGAGAAGGTGACATTCCCGGGACACAGGTAAGTGTTAGAAAGGGTCATCTTCAAACGTGAAGCCTTTTGGCGTCTCGGCTTTTCAAGTTTTTCGGTTGTGGGCAGCTGTTCGGCTCACCCAACTCGTCAGGTATCCTATTTTTGTGGTGTGGCAACCTCCACGAGACAGCTGACGACAGAAGGGTAAGGTATTCGCCGTGAATCCGCAACGGATCCAGACCTTTGATGAAACCAGTCGAAGCGATCGAGCGGTCTAATCGCCCACAAAAGTACCGTCAAGCTGCACCCAAGCCGTATCACCACGCAATGTCACTAAGCAAGATGAAGTATGCATTGAGAGCGAAGTTCCCGCTTTTTTGGAGGCCCCGCTTTTCTGCAGGTTGCATGCCCAGCTGGGTCCGAAGTTGGTGCACAGGGAGCTTCTATTTGTGTTTGCAACATATTAAGTTCGTTGATCAACACTTCCGAAGCGACTGGATTCTTGGCTGTTGCCACCCAGATTTGTTGTCCATAGGCGGCATGCAGGCCGCCCCACACGATGATTTTCTAAGTGAGATGGGAACAGGTTGGAAGCAGAGTCCCCAATCTTTCTGAGGCGCCGCTTTTTGCAGGTTGCATGCCCAGCTGGGTCCGAAGTGGGTACAGATTGGGAGCATGATGGGCCGACTCCCGGACGCCTGCAAGGACAAGTGGAGAATCATCGGGGTCACCGACAAGAAAAAGGGTGAGAAGGAAGTGAAAAGTGAGAAGGAAGTGTGGATTGCCTTTTCGAGAGTCTCCATGAACGGCTTCTCTCTCTGTATTAACGCTGCTTGGGGAGGAAAGCCGAATATTCTCTCCGTTTGCATGAGACAGAACCTGTCCTCAAGACTTTATTCTGTTCGAAGGCCTTTGAAAAGGACTGCCCATGCAGATGATCGGTCTGCCAGCGGCTCAGGGAACGTATTGTGGGCGGATGCTTTGTTTCCAGTCAGTTTCGAACGCTCCTGGGCATACCGCAGACTATTCCTCCATCCCTTTCGCAGGCCACAGATCATAAGCGACATCTTTGTCGACACGGATCTGAGCCAGCAAAACTTTGTCACTCTCGAATGAGTCTTGGCTCATACAGACTCTTCTCCCTCTCCCTTACGCAGGTCTCGAACCCCCGCAAGAAAGAACCTTTGCAAGAAAGCGACAGTTTTCCCCTTGCGCTCCTCTTTGTCATTTTTGGCAGTTTCTGATAGTGCAACTCGCACGCCCCTTCTTTGTACAGGTCAATGGTCGCCCAAAGAGAGCGAGCAACTGTCGCGCCTAGTTCAAGAGAGCCTCTCCCAGAAGCGGATCCGGACGTCCGTAGAAAGAGTCGTCGACGGGCGGCAGGTCCGAGACGACATTGACTGGACGGCGATCTCGGCTCGGATGGGCGTCCGAACCGCAAACCAGTGTTTGCGGCATTGGTACGATGTGCTAGCGCCTGGAATGGTGCGGACGGGGACTGGGGTCGAGGAGTGGGGAGGCGAAGACGACCAGCTTATGCTACAGAGGTGGGTCCGGTTTTGTAGTGCACCCCTCTTTGACGCTACGAGCAGGACAAACTTTGATTGTATTGAGGGAAGCTATTGTTTGCTTGCGAAAGTGAGGTTTGTGCTGTCATTGGTGGGACGAATGATGATTGGAAGAGCCTGAGTAAGTACGTTCTAGATGCATCGGGCTCCAACGAATGGAAGGGCAATCACTGGAGGAGAGAGGGATTGTATCACAGGTTGTAACCAATCTTAACCCTCTGCTTCTCTCATTGCGTGGAACTGAAAGTCGAAAAGAAACTTTTGAACGTTTACGCAAGTTCTTCTTGATCCTCATTGCGTCTGCTCAAGTTCCTCAAAGCTCAAGTTCCTCAGAGCTCTTTTTATACAATCAAATCCACTGTCGTCATTTCAGGCGGAAGCCTGCGGCGCAAATAAAGGATGACATGGCTCGCAGGTCAAGAAACGGTTTAGCGAGGAAATCGCAATCATTCGAAAGCTTTGCGTGATGCAATTGCCGTCAACAAGGGATAGACACCAAATCGCTCTGTGCGAGCATGCAACGACTCAAAATGACAGGATTAGGAAATGTTTGCAGGATCGTCGAGTCAGGCGCGACGTCAGAGCCAGAAGTGGAGTGGGCCAGCCTGCTACCCCACAGGTACGCGATCCGTTGCTGGACACTTTGGCGACGGCTTTGTTTTGTCGCGTGTTCTGTGACTCCACGGTTTTGTGCCTCCGTTTGTGCCGCAACGATCCCCGCTTTTGAGACATTTGGCCGATCTGCTCATGGACGAAGAGGAGCATCTGAGGCAGCATTTGGATGGGCATGTCCCAAGAGGGCTTATCGTTGTCGACCTGCTTCATGAGAATGCTCTACGTGAAGACAGCCTGAAAGTGCATGAGTTAGTCACTACGAGGGTACAACTGGGCCTTCAAACGCGACGTTACGAAGTCTTCCATTTGGGCGATGTCAAGATGCAAGTTCTACCTCAGAACGCTAGAAGAAGCCTCTGGTTGGCTTCTTGAATGAAGACGGTTGGGAGTCACTCATGAAGTGATGACCTTGTCACTTCTTTGCGTGATTGAGTGCGGTTGCTGTAGGGACGGGACCGCTTGCCGGAAAAGGTGGAGGATGATGATCAAGCACCTGCCGCCGTCACAAGACTTTGAGAGAAACCTTGCCAGCTTATGTGAGCGATATGCACCAGGCCTAGTATGAGCTTTCTGACGTATGACTTGTCCTCGATGTGCGTACTGCTAGTCGCTGACTTCCATTGGCACCAAAGCCGACCAGAAGTTCTGCAACAACCAATCATTCGTTATGCCGATTGAGAAGATTGAATGTGATACAAGGCCGCTGTATACAACATTTGACTGCAGATCTTGATTGCGCGCGACCATGGTGACCGCCGCTGCAATTGTAGACAAACGTTGGCACACGTATCGACCGTTGCACTAAACGATCCTATAATATTAAACATGCATCATCATGGCAGTCCGCAAACATTTCGCGTACGTCCACATGCCATTACTAAGATATACGAATCTTACATCCAAAAGCCGTGACTATATAACCTATGAACCACGTACATTCAATCCGCAGACCGTCCTTTAAGGTGGTAAGACGGTATTCGACAGTGGGAGCATGTTCAAAACCCTAAAACTTGATGTAGACATCATGGATTTGCATTCCGCTTTTTCGAGGTGGTTGGGGGCATTGAGAAGCATGTTTGAAGGCCCCTCGAGCTATGATACAACATGCTAGAGCAATACGAAGCTCAAGAGAAGTTGGCAAAATGTGCAGTTTACGCTGCAGGACCCCCCCGGCAAAACGGCTCCGTAGGGAAAAAATGAAAAGATAGAATCTTCTCGGAAGGTAGGCTTTCCTCATGGGGGGATGCTGGGATATCAAAAGAATTTTTGGTAGCCCATATCAACGGAGGGT